AAGAAAAAATATTTAGGTAAATCGAGTGTATCACGTCATTTGTAGTCTGTCCAAAAGCAATTATAATTAGGAGAAATACTTAGGTGTGCCTAATCTATCTAAGTATTTCTCTTATAATTAGTTGTCTGATATGTAATTAAGTACATTAATTGTTGCATGATTTTGATTATGTAGAATTCTTACATTGATTTTTTTTAGTCAAATGAAAATTAAATGAATCAAAGCCACATGGAGTGCTTTCTCAAATCTAGAATTGCGATATAGCTTTTGTTGGGATGGGGGGTTGTTATGTGCAGTGGATGCTAGTTTATGTCACCCCCAGTAGGTGCACGAGAAATCAGTTTAGAAGTTAGAGTGTGCCATTTTCTTAATACTTAAGGATTTTGGATGACTAGTAAAGAAACTTAATATGATTTTGAAGATGGATTTCCCTTTATTGATGTTCCCCATTCCTAAAGTAACAATGCTTATGCCAAAAGGTGTAACAAATTCACCTCATTTAAGAGTTAAGATCACAAATTTGAGGGCCAAACGTTGATGTACCCAGAAAAGGAGGGAACATCTAGAAAGCTTGGGTGTATTTAGTGACAAATACATGAGACCCATTTGGCCCAAAATAAATATAAGAAAGAAAATGAGATTGGAAAGCTCTTACTTTGATGCCAAAAATTTAAAAATGAAAATAATACTACTAAACACATTTTTTTTACAAAAATATCATTCAAGATCACTCAAGAGATTTAGTACATGTATAATTTTTAGTTTGTTAAAAGTTTATTTGACAAAAGTTAATTGCTATAACAAAATTTGTGTTTGAATATATATTTTTTAAAAGTCAATTTAGCAAAATAAAGATTGTTTGAATTATGATAATAAAATATATTTTTGAATGTATAATTACTAAAAAGGATATTAATTTATGATGATTTATAATTTTTATTACACAAATATAATATATTTAAAATTTTTAAAAATACGATAAAAATTTTAATTACCATAAAATTTAATATGTTAAATAATAAGAATAAAAGATATAAAGCTTGATATATTGAAAAAAAATTATATAATAAATAGTTTCAAATATATTAATATTAAAATTAACATGATTAAAAAGATATAATTGATAAATTTTTTATTCAAAAAATATTTAACTAATTGGATAAACCTTTGTTGGTTAATAAAAATTATAAAGAACACAAAAATTGATATATTAAATAATAACAGTATAAAATATAAAATTTGATATATCAAATAAAAATTATATAACTAGTTGAATATATATCAATGCTAAGAATTAATAAGATTAATTACTCAACTTATAATGTTAAAAACTTGATCTCTAATAATAACTATAAAAAATAATTATAAAATCTCTCTAAATTATGTAAATGATGATTTAGTCTCTAGAAATGCTATAATATTAATAAAGTCTTTAGAGACCTCTTTGTGAATAACTTTTTTAAGGAAAAGATCATTTTACACTTATTAATAAATTATGATTTCTTATTCAATTATTGCGATTCTCTGAAAAAAAATTATGATTCTTTAAATAAAATTTGTGAATGAAATTTATTATTTTGAGAAATTATTTTTCAATAATAAAAATTATACTTGACAAATTATAATTTTTTTTATTTACTTCTTACGATCCACAAAGCAAAAGTTGTTATTCCTTAACTAAAAATTATGATTGGAGCATGTTTTTCAATAACAAAAATTACACTTAATAAGTTATAATTTTTTTCAACTTTTGCAATTTATAAAATAAAAGTTGTAATTTTTTAAATAAAAGTTGTGACTGGGTCTTATTATTTTTAATAAGTATAAAATGATCTTTTTCCTAAAAAAATTATTGACAAAGAGGTCCCTAGAGACTTCATTGGTATTATGATATTTTGAGAGATCAAATTATCATTTAGATAATTCAAAGATATTTTATTTTCATTTTCCCTAATGATTATTCTTTAAATGATAATTATATTTTTAATAAATTAACAATATATTTTAAATAAAAGAATAAAATATTAAAAGGATAGTATGGTCAAATAATATCTCCCTTTTCAAATCCTACCTCAATTACTTTTGCAAATCCACATCCAAATCATTTTAGAAAGTACTTTTTAAAAGCACATTTTCCCAATCATTTGATGCCCAAACAACTTTTTACATCTCATATGTTAGAAAGTTTTTGCTAAAAAATGTTAGAAAGAGTTCCCAAATGTGAAATGTGATTTACCCCAACACACCCTTAATATCAAACAAGAATTGAAAAGTTTTATAATATCATTGCAGGATTAGGGAACTAAAATACAATTAAAATTAGTTGGAGTTCTGGCAATCGACGGCCAAACTGTTGAAACTCCAATATTGGTGACACCGGAGGAAATTAATTTTTCAAGGTGGCCTAGGAGTAATTTGATCCCATAAATCATTGATTACCTAAAAAGCTTGGTTGTCACCAAACCCATGTAATCATGCATGGCAAATATATATATATATATATATATATATATAGTAACCCAAGCTTTTACATCATTTTCATGTTATAACATACTAATGTGTTGTTAATTTTGAATAAGTTGTCATTAAATCAAGTCCGAATATAATTTAGCATGAATGAATTATTGTTAAAACTCAAATGAATAATTGTTAATAAAGGACTAACACTTGTATAATTGAGCTTATTCTTTTAGTTTTTCTAACTTGGAAAGTTTGAATGAGTTATAGTCAATTTTAAATGAGTTATTATTAAAATTTAGATGAATACTTATTGATAAATGACTAATACTTATACAATTAAACACAACCTATAAGTTTTTTAACTTATTAAATTTTGAATGAATTATTGTTAATCTTGAATTAGTTATTGTTTAAACTTGAATGTATATTTGTTGATGGTTGACAACACAAATTTAATGAATTATTATTAAAGCTCTAATAGGTCGGATGAGTTTTTTGTCAAAATCCATATATATATACATACATACATATATATATATATATATATATATTATTATTGATGACTAGCAAACACATTTAATGAAATAAGTATTTACCCTATATAAATAAACAACCATTTGGCAGTTGATTACAGTGAGTTTTTTGGGGAAAAATACGAGAGGTAATTTTATTTTTCACCATAAATTTTAATTGCATTTTGATCCTTTCATCTTGCAATAATATTTTAAAATAATTTAATCCTTATTTGATATTAAATATTTTTATTGGTCCTTGAATTATGTTTTTCTCTCCTTTCTCTCCTATCTCTCGGGGGGCTACAGGTGAACAAGAAATGAAAATTTTCACCTTTCATCATTTCCAACGAAATTGGTTTCCCTATTTATCTTAAAGATAATCATTTTTAAAATAAAATTTGGATCATTTAAATTTTTAATTTGAATAGTTTAGATTTAAAATATTATTATTATTATATCATTATATATTATATTTATTAAAATAAAAATTTATAAAAATTATTAAATAATTTTAATAAATTTTTATTTTTAATATACTTTAAATTTAATTTAGAGTATCTAATTTAATATTAAAATTTTTATAATTAATGTATAATAATTATTCAAATTTATTCTGCACAGCTTCTATCTGATAGCCTATTGAAAAATTACCATGAACTTGAAGTACCATGCAATGTAATCAAATACTATAAAATTTATGGATAATTGAGCGAAAAAAAAAATGACAACATATCAGCGTTGTGGTTTTTAAATGCTTTGTGTGGAATTTGTAGGTAATTCTTCCTTTACAATAGTTTATCGGATCTTATTTATATTCACTTCCACCATATTTTTTCTAAAATTAAATTAAATTTTAAATTTTATTAATTTTATCTAAAAATTTAATAATTTTTAAATTTTATATCTATTAAATCATATACTTTAAAAATAAAATATTACGGTATTTAATAACCGTCTCAATATTTAATAGGAATAAAATGCTCATAATTCATGTTTCTGTTCATTCAACAAAATGAAATCAAATATTTTCTTTATAAATAAAACAGGAAAAATATTATATTAACGTAAGCTGTCCTAGCCTATGGAGAGGCCCATAATTCATGTCTCTGTTCATTTATTGTACCCAGATTTGAAGTAAGTGCTCATGCTTTTTCGAAGTCAACGTAGACGTTTAAAGTGATTGTATAAGTAGATAATTAGATATAACCATTACTAACGATTTTTTCGTGATATCAAATTTAAGTTGGAAAGTATAAAGTATTTTCTAAAATTTTATTTTATACCTACACATAAAAAATGTCATATTTTTTAAATAATTATATAATTTTATCTTCATTTTGAAAATGAAAAATATATATTAATTGTATACTTTTACTTCCCACTACCATATATTAACTGACATAATTAGAAACAAAATTAAAAAAATTATTATAATTTAATATAATTTTAACTAAATAATAATTTTTTATTAATTCAATTAGAAACACTTAATATAAAAGAACGGATGGAATATATTTTAAAAAACCAGGGTACAAGGAATATAAAGTAGATGCTTCATCATCCACCCCCTATAGTGCTAATGACAAGACAAAATTAACCAACTTCACGAATTTTCAAAAATTATAATTATAATTAATATTCTGAAATTTATTAAAAAAGTTTGACTTTCTAATTTTACTCTCCATTAAAATTGATGAATTGATGAATACAGTAAAATTTGTCTGGCAATTACAATTTGGTATAATTAATAATTAATAAAGGGCAATATTGAAAGAAAAAATAAACTACTAGTATTTAGAATCATATAAAATTATAAAATTTGAAATTACGATCGAGAGTTCTTTTTTTTTTTTTTTTCGCCCCCAAGGCAGCACCCCAAATTCACGACTTCCTTTAGCTTTGTATCATTGTATGTCTCAATGTCTGTTCTATTGCCCAGATAAAAGAGAGAAGACTACGGCCATAACCTTGAAAAAGAAGAAACAAAACACTTTGTCCACTAGCCTTGTATATCCTACAAGAATATCAATAACATACAAAACATTAACATCGAAATCTCGAACAAACATCTTTCGCTAATCACACATTCATTAGTTTATTATGAATGGGATGCAAAATAAAGTCGTATGGTTGTTTGTTCAAGTAGCGAAACTAATATGATTAATAATTGCGATCTATTTGCTAGTAATAATAGTCATAAAAGCACTGAAATTAGAACAAAACCCGAAAGAATGGGGACATAATCACATCGTATGTGCATTTACAATTCAAGGCAGGCTTTCAGCTACACATAGTATTTGCAGGTCGACTCATTGGTGGACAACAAATTCTTTATCCTGTCATTCAGACACATGCAACAACCAGCGATGTCATCGTCAACTCTCAGATACTCTAAATATGGTAAGCAGAGCCAAGAAGAGATTGATGATGTCCAGATACAACGAGACAGCAGCCCAAATGTACTCATCATAGGTGAACCTTTTGATAAGGTTGTCTGTATCATATATGATGTAACCACAAAATATAATTGATGCTAGGCATCCATAGACCATCACTGATATCTTACCCAGCGGGAATAGAATCTGCAAGAAAGAAATCAGATCCACTTAGAAACTGCGCTTCCGAAGACAATTCACGAAGGCTGACAAATATCAACCAGAAATGTTTGAAAATAACCATACCTGAATCAGAGCAAAAACCATGAGAACTAACACAGCACCGAACAAGAAGGGGCCAAGAAAATTGAAGTCATGACCTCTTCTGGCGGCCCAAAATGTGTAGAGAGTCAAACTGACCACCACCACGCTTGTCAATATCACAGATTCCAGTATCACTTTCCCTGATACCATTTATCACAAAACTTTAGAGCCATGAGGAAATAAGGCAATTCCCACATGTCAGCCTTGACGCTCAGCAATTAAAAATAATACGCTACCCCGTTTCCCGCCGTTCATATCCCGAATTGAATTTCCCTAGCAATCTACTTCCCGTTGCCCAATCAAACCTTATAGCCAAAGATTGCATATATCAATTGTGCTTTGTATTTTCAATGAAATGGTGTTGTAAGAAAGAAAGGAGAGAGTATAATCGGTCCACAACATTAAAAAAACCTGATAACAACTGACGTTAGGCAGACTACTGAATCAGAGAATTCTCTGAAGTATTCATGAACTACGACGTAATTAGAGAATAACGAAGAGAGCCAGTGGCAAGTGGCCAAAATGGCATCAAATTCTCCCTCGTGGAGAGAGGTTGCGGGCTAGAGCCCGCATGGGTGAGTGGTGTGTTTAAAAATTAAAATTGTTTCCACTCAAACGAAGCAGAAGGAGGACCTCCACTCAATGGAACTATACAGGACCCACAGGTGCAAGGTGGGACCAACATTTTATTCCTAAAGTTTTTAGGAATGCATGCATGGTGATGGAGATGAAAGAATACCAGCCCGCCCACACCAAACAAAAACAGCTTATTAATCAAGGAGACTTCATCAGGCTTTTGCCCAATCAGTGCAGAAAAAGAAAGAAAAGCAGGAACAGTTTATTCCTATCGCTATTGGCCCAAAAAAAATAGAGAACGAAAAAGAAAAATCAATCTTACCGATAGTGAACGCACAGGTGAGCCCAACAGCGAAAGCTAGGGAGATTGTGAAGAGCCCCAGAAGCAGGTAATTCAGCGGGTGCTTCTGGTGGTAGTAGTACAGAGGGCATAACACTGAAATGTTTGAAAGCCGTAAGGGAAAAAAAAAAAAATCAAAGCATGCAATAATAATAGGAGAAAAGAGAGAGCTCGAAAGTGAGGAATAACAGAGGCGTACCGATAAAAGGGATGATGATGAGGACGATGAAGAGGGCCAAGCCAGCGCCAGAACTGACGAAGAAGTGGGCAATGGGATGAACGAAGACGACGACGGAAGCAACGGCAACGGTGGCGAGCAACTGAAAGGTTATGATGGAGTAGACTTTGCGGATAAAGGACCACCGGAGCTCGGGGCTTTCGAGCATCATAGGGTAAAGAGGCCCAGGTCCGGCCTCGGCGTCAGATTTGCGGTAAGGCTGGTTCCACATGGCGGGAGAGGCGACGGAATAAGGGGAAGGAAGGCAGGGATTAGAGCCAGAGATGAGGCTAGTTAAGGCTTGGAACTTGGATGCAAGAGATTCTTGACGGGAGGCAGAGGGAAATTTAAAAAGCGGAGAAAGGGGCGAGGGTAAGAGAGAAACTTCGTGAGACTTGGCGTACACGTGTGACATAGAAGCTGTCAATGACTCAATGAGCGAGCCGCTCGGGTTTCGGGGAATCTTCTGGACTTCTCTCCATTTATTTTCCCGCTTCTGGACATGTCCTTTTGCTTTTTTTAAATGACATATGCATAGCATTCCAAAAAAAAAAATGAAAACCATACCAGGGAAGAAGGTCCACAAACCGTATGCCCCTGTGGGCTTGTGACATCAGCCCAACACTTTCTCCGGTCATAAAACTAATCTCGTCTTGATCCAACCCAAGAAAGAATTCTGTTTTACAATATGAGTATATTTATGAGCAAAGTGTACATGCTTAACTCTATATATTTAATATAAGTATTTTTAATTAAATAAATATATAAATTATTTATTTTATAATAAATCTTATCATTACTATCATTATCATATTTTAATTCATTTGTTTTGATAAAAGTATATTAAATATATAAAGTTAAGTGTATAAAGTCTTACTATATTTATAAGTAGACTTGACAATATTTAAATTTAATTTGATCAGAAAATCACATGAAAAGATAACTAAATGGGTGAGCGTTCATTGTTCGGATCAAAACTCGACTTTGCATGTGTAGACAGAAATGCAACGAAAAAATAATTGATGAATGATATATGTTAATCATTGTTAAGTAGAAATAACAAGTGTGTAATTATTTCAACCCCCAATTTCATCAATCCACTCTACATCAATAAAAGATAGTATTTATTTATTTAACCAAATGGGATGACGACAATGCCGGTGTCATCCAAGAGTTGTGGAAATGGTGCGGCGAATGAATTACTAGTGAATTTTTTTTTTTTTTTTTTTGGGACCAGACTATACTACGGCTAGAATTATCCTAGCAGTATGTTGTTGCTTTCCTTGCAATTCAAAAATAAAAACATTCGAGTAGGAGACAACCCACGACTCCACAATGAGTGCAAAAACACGTGTTGCCTAGTGACTGGCCATCCGTACTGTTTCACGTGAAACACCTCCTCCTCATGAGTCATGACATTAACGTCCATCCCCATATCCGGCCCAACACAAAACGCCCCCGTCACTCGGCCACCCCGACTCCCTTTCTTAGTTTCTTGTCCCCTGCTCTCCAATTATTCATGGGGAAAACAATAGTAAAGAATGGCTCTAAAAATTCAAAATGTCGCTACATGCCCTTGAAAACCTATCTAAAAATAAAACTTTGGAAGAAGCGGTTTAATTATTCCTATAATATTTTATAAGTCTCGTTGCTATATAAATAATAAAATTTTTGACTATTAACAAGTTATCATGTATAATTAACAAGCAAGCTATTATTTATAAATAAGTTATAAAAATTGATAGAATTTATTTAATTTTACAAGTCTTACTTGCAGCTTTGGTATAAACAACAAATCATTCTTCTATTAACAAGCTATCATTATGTTATAAACAACAAACCAGACCTATAATTTTTTATAACTTGTTTACAAATAAATGTTCATCTATTAATTACGTATGGTAAATCATTAATAGTGGTGTGCTTTCTTGTTTATATTGAAACAAGACTTGTAAAGTGTTACGAGGGTAATTAGGTCTTTTTACCCAAAATCTTATTTTCAAGCATATCACATGGAATGCAATGATATTTTAGATTTTTAAATTCTTTTTTAATATTAAAATAATAAACTTGGTTCTTCAATCTATTTTGATCCCTGAGCATAATTTTATTTTTAATTAGGTCTTTTCTATCAATTTTTTCCTTCTTTTATGAAATCTGAACATATGGTATTGAACCCAAAAAAAAAAAAAAAAGGAACACATGGTCTGAATTTAAAAGAACGTATAAAATCCATGAGACGGCCAAAAAACGTGTTTCCTGCTTTCGCGTACGTAATAACGAGACCTCTGAATGTCTGGTATCAGTCATAGGTAAAATATGATGCCGTCACTGCGCAAAAGACAAATGCTATTAAATGCGGGGATAAAGGTAATTCATCCACAAACTTTAACATCAACGATAAGGGTAATTCATTCATAGACGTGGCTTTAAATCTTAGGCTTAGATTTTCTTTTCTTTTTGGCCAACAGATCTTAAACTCAGATAAACCTTCAGCAACGCCCCTCATTCCCTTCACGTTACACACACAGCTTCTCCCGAGATCGAGGACAATGGCGTTGCTGGAAGCTCAACCAGTTCTGGCCACCACCAACGTCTTTCAACATGGAGACATAGAATGCCAGCCACTCCACGTTGATCCCTCGAGCACTTCCTCGCCCCCAAAACCATTACTAATCTTCACGCCAATCGTGGCCGCCAAATACCCAGTAATCTTGTTTTGCCATGGCTTCTGCCTTGCTACCAGCGGCTACTCTAATCTCTTCAACCACATAGCCTCTCATGGATACGTTGTTGTTGCTCCTCAGGTTAACTAATGACTCCGCAACATGTATTATATATATATATATATATATATATTTTCTGGCTCTGATATCTTTAATTTTTTCTGGTTAATAGTAATTAAATCACTTCACTCTCCAGTTCTGTCTTAACTGCGAATGGATGCCCATGATGTCATATTGTGAGGTTAAGTGTGCGGGAGATGTGGCGGACTGGGTAGCCGAAAAGCTTCAGTCAGTGCTTCCTGAGAACGTAATACCAAATCTGGATCAATTTGTGATGGCAGGGCATAGTAAGGGTGGGAATACAGCATTTGCAGTAGCGCTCGGGCATGCCAAGACGAAGCTCAACATTTCAGCGCTGGTAGGCGTAGACCCCGTAGGTGGGCTTAATAAGTATTGCAAAACGTATCCTTGGATCCTCAAGGGCCAGGCCGGGTCTTTCAAGCTAACCATGCCCGTAGCTATAATCGGAACTGGTTTGGGCCCAGAAAAAGCCGATTATTGCTGTTCACAACCCTGTGCGCCTGAGGGCGTGAATCATGAGAATTTCTTCTTCGAGAGCAATCCGCCCTGTGCTTATTTTGTAGCCAAGGAGTATGGTCACATGGACATGTTAGATGACAGTCTGGGAGTGATTGGGAAAGTGGCGAGCTGTTTGTGTAAGAACGGGACGGGTGCTAAGGACTGCATGAGAAGAACGGTCGGTGGCTTAATCGTCGCCTTCTTGAGGGCTCATTTGGATCTGCGCACTCACGATCTGGACGCCATTGTTGCCAACCCTAGTCTTGCTCCTGCCACGCTCCATCCTGCTAAGTATATAAAAGCACCCTGAAATTCTCTCGTCTCGTTTCAAATTTGTGTCCAAGTTTAAATTCCTAAGCTTTGAATATGAAATATTTAAAATTTTACTATCCGGGGCCTCCTAGCTTGGTGGTGTCTTTTTCCACAAGACTTCAGGTGCACTTTGCAATTAGGAAGCTTCAAGTACCACGCTATAACTTCAGCACTATTTCTGTATTTTGTGAATGACACGCTGTGAAGCATCTGTAGATCTTAGAGTAATTCAAAACCTTCGATTTCTGTTGTCCTCTGCCTTTGTTGGACAAAAAGATACACGCAACAAAAGAGAACCTGGATATACTGCAATGTTGCAATAATTCAGGTAGGATGAGATCACATTTTTAGGTCCCTTTTAAAAAAAAAAAAAAATTCTTTGGAGTAAGTTTGTTGTCCATATTTTTTCCTTCAAATAAGCTAATGCTTATGCTTAAGTTTTTCAAGTGTTGCAATATGTTTTCGGACTTTCAAGGAGTTTGTCCGGCACTTTCTGCCATGCTGATGGCCCTACATGGTCCATTATATTATGACAAATTAATAACGACAACAATGATGCAGTTACCAACGTTTTGGTCTAAATGGTAACTTTGCAGGGACCCCATCTTTTTGTGCGACCTGTGTTGATCTTCACTGGGTGGATTGGTAAGATTAAAAAATAAATAATTTTTAAATAATTTAAAGATTTTATAAAAAAAATTTATAGAGATTTTATAAAAAAACAAATTTTTTTATGTCTGGTTATAATAATAATAAAATAAATATTAGTTAGTTGTTTAAATTTTATGATATCTTCCTTGATTTTTTTATAAAAATAATTTATTATATATTATTTTAAAATTTTATGACATGTGTCCGTATTTTTAAAACATTTTTTTTATCTACCGTATTAAATTATATTTGAGAAGTTACTCAAAGTAGCATAATCAAAAATTTATTTTTCTTATATTCTGATTACTTTTAAAAGTTTAAACAAACATTATAAAAATTCATAAAATAATTTTTTTTCAAAAAATAAGCAATTTTTTATGAGATAAGCTAAAACAAATAAGCTCTATATGCTGCATAAAGGGTTAAAAGATTAAGTTCTAAAATGTTGAATTAATGACAGTTATATTTTTGATAAAAAAATTTTAAAAATGAATTATAAATATCAGTTTAAATAATTATAAACAGAAATCAATGTTATAATTTAAGAATTATATTTAATATTTAAATATTTATATGGGATTTAAATTTTTGAATTTATATTTTGATTGGTATTTTTAACTTATTTTTAAAAAAAATTGTTAGAAGCATGACTATTATTAATTTAAGATTTTAAAACCTAACTGTCATTCTCCTCTACTTTAACGATCGATGTGAAAATAAAAAGGGAAAACGTGCGTCTGGATGAAGACGATCAAATTTTGGACGTTTGAGTTACATGGAATACGGTTCTGATCTATGTCCAGGTCCATCGCACCCAAGGGCGGAGAATATTCATGATTTCATCCCCTCAATCCTCGTAATTAACGTGAAGAATGAAGATTAGAGTCAACAGAATCGGCCAGGTACGTCGCCCAATGTTTCCACTTTCCAGGGCGCATAGCGAAAAGGGATAAAACTCGTTCTAAGTCGGAAGAAAGAAAATCAAAATGAATTAGGGATAAAACCAGTTTAATTTGTATTTGGGGCATGCTTAAACGAAGAAGATGAGGAGTGGCTTGAGAGCACTCCGAAACTTAATTAATTTGTACTTGGGGTACTAAGAATTTACCATGGTTTGAGTCTCTGTTTGGGCTTACATGACCAAGGCTTCCTTTACGAGACATCTGAGAAATGTACGTCCGGTGGCCAGTCTGCATTGTCTATGTCCTCACTCATTGCACGCTGTTTCTTCATCATACTCTCTAGAATAATCAAGATCCAAAAATTATTTATTCTTCTTATTTTTTCTAACCATCGTTGGTACTTTTGTTGCTTGTATAATTAAAAACTTGTCTTCACTTTAGTTACATTAATAATTGTGTTTTGCATTCTATCTGCTTCTGATGATTGAGATGATTCGTCTACAAGCTGATCCGTTCAGATAAATTTGAACTCGAGGCATTTTCGAAGAGGATATTGACAAAAGGAGTGAAATGACGTTCACTTGGAATTGACAATGAAGTTGCCAAATATTCCCTCCGCTACTCACATGCTGTGTGTTGGTGGCTTTGCCTAAACGAGACGTGAGCGTTCATCTTTAATCCTTTTCCAATCTGCCAGTATTGAGGCGTGCACAATATATGTTGACATTGCTCAACCTCCATCAGGATAATTTTAACAAAAGACCCTTCATCATAATTAATTACATTTAAAGTTTTTAAATTTTTAAAATTTCACTACAATTCATAATTTGATATTAAATTTTTAAAAATGATAAAATTGCCCCTCATTTAAATCAATATCAAAACTTCCTTATTTTATTTATTAATTGCTTCACTTTATATGTTCATTTACTTATCAAATATTATCAATTACCCCGCTATACTTATTTTTATTTTAGATATTTAAATTATCTTAAGATAACTTATTAATTTATATATTGTATATTATTCATTTACTTACATATTGCTGTTAATTGTTATACTTTACTTTTTCATTACTAGACTTTAACTTGATTTCATTTAAAAAAAATAAATAAGTTAAATAAGGTAATTAATAATATTATACAAGTAAATGAACAAGTAAAGTAACAAAGTTCTAATATTAATTTAAAAAAGGGGCAACTTTGTTATTTCTTTAAAAATTTAATATCAAATCAGTATCTTTAAATTATAGTAAAATTTTAAAAATTTAGAGTCCTTGAATGTAATTAAATATGATTAAGGGTTCTTTATTGGAATTATTCCACTTCCAAACCTAAAGGCAATGAGAAGATTGCGCGCGGTGAAGTACAGGAAAATTACAGGCTAATATATCTCGGTACGGTAATAAATCTTACGCCTAAATTCAGTCTACACATTTTGTTGGGGCAAGTATATTTTAGGACAAGAAATGCCTAATTAAACAAGCGATAGATAGGGCTACTGGCCAGCCTAAAAATTGATAATTATACAATGACAATTCGCATTTCATAATTTTGTAACATTTATGTAGTTAATTGCCGACAAAATGGAGACAAAACAGGGACGAAATAAAATGTGCGAGTTGGGGGATGGTAAACAATATATATTTGTTTGTCAAGCTACATAATTTTGGTGAAGTTACTATCTTACTAAATTTAAAAAATGCTAGTTAATTTATTATATACGTCTTAATTAAAAAAATATGCCAACTTTTACCCCTACTAGGATTATGGGAGGGAAACACATTAGGGCTTTTTTGATTCTTGGGAGGACATTTTTAAGGTACAAACCATAAATTAGATTTCGGGGGGCAAACCCTTTGAAAAATTATATTTTCCTTAGAATCAAGTTTTTTCTGTCCATTTTATCCTTACGAATAAATTGTAGATCAAAAATTACCCATGCCTCTGCCAACGTCGATTGACCTTCTTCTACCTTTCCATTAATCAGATTTACCTTTGCTCCTCTCCTCTATCTCATCGTTGGCCTTCTTCTTCCTGATTTGAACTTTGCCATTGCTCCCTCCCTCTACCATTTGTCGCCCACTGCCACCAACTGTTCATATTTCCATTGTCACCTTTCGTTTTTCATCTGACTCTATTATATTCTCCATACTCCTTTGGTCTTATTTATGGGGTAAAGAGAGAAGAAAAATTTTAATTTTTTTTATAGGACACTTACTCATTTCCAATGCTCCTCTTTGTATTTCTGTTTTTATTGAATGCTTTAAATATAAATATCAATAATGAAATTTAAAAATATTTGTTAGGGATAAAGGTGACAACTTAATAAATTTTAAGATAAAGTCAATGAAGTTTAAGGCTTTTCTTGAATCTAATAAAACATGTTAAAAGTAAATTATAAATAGGATCAGGAAAAATACTTCTCTCCTATCTAGTGTTTGGAGGAGAAGGGTTTATGAGATAGAGACATGGCCATGGATATGTGAGTTGTGGCAATGGCCTCCAAGGTGAGGCATGTTGAAGGCTTCATCTCTTTTTGCTTGCAAATCATGATTAAGAAGAAATAATAATGTGGATAAAAAATTTGGAAAATTTTCTTTGGATTGCTTCCGCAACTTTAATCATATACTTCTCCATTATGCACCCCCATTGTTATCTTCTTCATAATTTGTATTTTTAGATTTGAATGATCCTGTAAACCTATCTGAAACTTATATGATTTGTGGACAAAAACTTTGATTAAATTCATTGTCATTCACCTTCATTGAGCATTGCAAATCATCCTCCACCATTGTATTGCTCACCATAGGGCTGTGCATGGATAAAGTTGTGTAGAGATTGGGCATGTCAAACTAGATGTCCAATTTATTATCCTTTTTTAAGTAGTTGGAGACTTCTTGTTGGATCAAGATATATCAAAATTGGGCTCAAATTAGCCATTAAAAAATATTTCTAGTAACAAAATCATGGGCTTAAAAATCTTTTCTAGCAACAACATAACTAAAAATGGAAAAAAAAATCAATAAACATGAAAATGGCATACCCAATATATATCACAACAAGATTTCCAGATGCAGTTACCATCAAAATGATCTATACCACAAGGCCAATGCCTAGTCTTTGTGCATCTTCGAATTGCTTGAACATCAAAGAGTAAGAGATCAGGAGTAGTAAAAGCAATCGAATCCAAAGCTTGGGAATTAGAGATCAGAGCATAGAACCATGGACCAGAGATCAAAGCAACATGATCTCAACGCAAGAAGAGATGAAGTAGCCTTAACAGTGATGGAAGGCGAGCAATAGATTAAAGGTAGACATATTCAATGCAATGCCTTCTCGAACGATGACAGCAACGAATAATGAGAAGGAGGTGAGGAGTTGAGACTTCAATACACAGTCGTTGAAACAGGTGAAGCTCTCAATCTCACACATGATATATGAAGTCATTAAGCCAAGATAGATAGAAGAACAATGTTGTTGAGTTATGGGTGGTATATTGAGGTAGACGAGTGAGTAATATTGTGATGTGACTATGCAAGATGAGAGTTCGAGTGGATGCTGTTAGGAAGGGTGAAAAGAGGAGAGAGAGAGGACTAATAATTGAGAAGAGTTGAAGACTTGAAGCTAGGGTATCAAATTTCATTTCAAAGTCTCACTTACTAACTAGAGTTGATTGGTTGAATACCTTAGTCCTAAACTTTGTCCAACTTGAGGTTTGGGCTTAGCTCGACCATACTCATTCATTTTTGAGCATGGGCAGGGCTAAAAGCCATTAGGTAGGGTGAGATGTTTTGGGCTTTTTGCACAATCCTAGTTCACGAGTTATTGCTTCATTTAGATACAAAATGGAACAATTTTATTTTCACAAAGGTTCCGTTGCTTCTATTTTTTTTTTTGTTTTTTTTATACACGGTTCTGTTGCTTCGACTGGGTTCCTTTGTCAAAATTATGGTGCTTTGGGTTTGATTGGTTAGATTATGCCGTTCCAATTATTGCATATTGTTGGGTCCTTTTGTGAAGGGGCGAGATGAAGCAAAAAGAAGGGTTTGGATGATGGCGAGGGTAATATTATATTTTTA